TCTAGTAGATGTTTTCATTATAACACCAAAATTGGAGCTATATTTTTTCTCTGAACTCCCAGGTTTCCTGTGTTAAGTGGATACCACAATCACACGAAGTTGTACAAACTGGAGAAGACAAAATGGTCAAGTATGTTGCAGTCACAGGTGAATTGACTCAGAAGAATACATTCTACTGACACTTGTGTTTCTTCAGGGTCTGGGACACACGGACACTGACACCAGCATTTACCTTCCCTCCAAAACAATATTTCCAGGTAAACAATTCCGAAATAAGTCTCATTTATTAGATGGGAGTGGGCTCTATCAAAAGAAAGGAGTTCAAGGATACTGTGTAGCACCGCATACTACAACTCCATCAGAAATGCTTTTCACACTTTCTCCTTTTTTTCTTTCTTAAAATCTTAATTCACTGGGCCTCCTCAGGTGTAGCCTTTTTCATGGAACATGTACCTGACTTTTGCTCACTTAGGTTTTGACAATGGAAGGGCTCTAGGAACTATTGACAGCATTATAGAGTGGTTTTCCGTCAACCATGAAAACAAATAGACCAACTAGTTAGTAGCAATTAGTAATAGTCAATATAACTTTTAGACATATAAACTATAAACGAATAGCTAACAAACAACAGTTTGAATAAATTAAACGTTTAGTTTGATTAGTTACCATAACAAAAACGACCATTAAAATAGAAAAAACTTGTTTTTGTGATGAATATGTTTATACCTATATCAATCGGATACAAGCTAGACTATTAGTATTGGTCTATTACAAACTACTACTAACTATTAGACTTATTGTGTTTTCATGGTTGACGGAAAACCACTCTATTGACAAGATACATGAGTATATCAATCTTCTTCTGTGAAGTATTATTATGATGGTACAGTGTATATGCAGTAGACCCGCCCATCAGTTACACGCGCATGCAACCTCCTCACATTACAGCTGTAGATGCTTGTTTTGTTATTTGTTTAGATATGTTGCAACTAATGTTCTTCTGTGTAGTATTATGGTATATACTATATGCCTATACAACCCCCTAACATGAAGTGCTTGTTTTGTTGTTTATTTAGACATGTTGTGACTGTTCTGATGATGGTAAATACATTTTGACATGTAACAATGGTTTTAACAGAAGTGGTTGTGAAGCAACTGTAAGTAATATTTTAACTTAATTAATATATTGGAAGAATGATAAAATAACCTGGATATCTTCACAAGAATGTTTTGCCTAAGTTGGTCATTTTTAGATTCAAAAGATTAAAAGCCAGGATCCATGTTGGATGAATGAACAATATATACTAAATTTAAAATGAGAAATCCTTTTTGAAGTTCCTCAAAGATGGCAAACTGTAGCATTCAGTGTAAACATACCCTTTTCTGAATGTTCTCAATTACATGCTACTTACATCATTGCCACTAGATGGTCAAACTTGGTCGAACTCCCATTCATCGACCATTAGTTTTTGCCCTGCAGTACCAATATGCCAATTTAAGATATTAGCTACAAGATCTAGTGAAGTAAAATGTATGCACACCCATGTAATATCCTCTATATAACACAAACAATAAACATCTTTTTAGTAAAATATATAAGATTTACAATAAAAATAAACAGACAAACTTTGTTTAGCTGTGGGATTTGAGGCAGAAGAAGCAAGTTTATCAGTATGTTGGACACACTCAGACTGCATCAGCATGTATTTTCCTGCCATTTACTGAAGGCATAGCTCCACACCCATTGTAAGTAGATCTTGTGTTTGATTTATGTTGGGTGGGAGGGGAGGGTAGGGGTCGAATTGAAAATGTACTTTAACGTCTTTTTTGATATTTTGTTTTTCAGGATCGCTACAGCATCACATGACTCAACGCTTAGAATATGGAAAAGAGAAACTAAAGGTAATAGAAAATTCCCGAGATGTGCGTGCGCATGAAAAAATGGTGGAAACTATCGTTCAACTAGTATGAGTTGTATCGTTGTTCTTAAGAAACAGTTGTGTAAAAAGATAAATTTATCACCATAAAAAAGTAGGTGAAATAACTTACTGACGTTTCGGACGTTAATCCTTCGTCTTCCCTTTTTACTCCGAAGGATTAACGTCCGAAACGTCAGTAAGTTATTTCACCTACTTTTTTATGGTGATAAATTTATCTTTTTAGACAATTGTCCCTTGACAAATTATAATGCGGTTGCGAGCACAAAAACACGATATTTTTGATTTTTTTTATAAGCACAAATCCACTCTTTATTATCCCTTTGTGCCCTTTGAAAGGAGATATCTTTAAATGTATGGAAACGGATTGCAAATGAATATTTGAAGTCATGACTGCATTGATTGATGGTTGACCATAGCCCTTGAAATGATATATTTTTTTCAACAGAATGTATTCTAGTTGAGGAATTTCCCGGTTCTGGTCCACTAACAAGTTTAACGGCCTGGCCCAATGGAGGGTAAGTGCTGTAGTGTCTTATACATTGTGTCTGTACCTTGCGCGGGAAATGAAATGCCCATATTAGGCAAGTTATTTTTCTTCTCATGCTCCCATTCGGTCTGCTCTTTGATGATGTTTGAAGAGATTTACAGATATGGGTACTTCCGAGCGGAGAATGGGGAGGAGGAAAGGAAGGATTTTCCGTTCGGCACTTTCCATCCCCATTAGTGGCGCTAGGCAGACTATGGTCATACCAAAGACGAACAAACTTGCAGTAATTGACGATAGCCGCCATAAAAGCTTTCGTATCAATGCAAGTTAGCCATGAGATCTTCTAGGGGGCACTTGAAAAATTTCAAATTCCTTCAGGAGTTTCGCGATACAAGTCATAAAATTATTTACCTCTCTTTAATTGCATACTTAGTACTTGTTAAATGATTGAATTGTTATCCGGGTTGTAGAAGCCGGTATCGGTTTTTATTGGTACTACTGTATAAAACGGATGAACCGGGACAAAAATGACAAGTTCAGTATTGATTGGTCACTTTTTGCGTGAAATGAGCCTATATGCAAGTCCATTTTAAGCCGGTAATTTTGAGAATTTCTGAGGAGGATCGTTTCTCCCAAGGGAGCACCTCCTTCCCCTGGGGTCTCGTTTGGTCGTCGATGTAATAGCGAGAGTCGGGCACTCTCTGACTGAACCGTGTCAATTATCGAACACGCATCCGAAGCACTACCGAGTATACTTTCCAAAACTTTGTATCTTGTTTATTGGTACCGTTGTGAGTAGACTGTTAGGTCAGCTGGCGGAGTGCTAAAGATTTGCTCGATGATTAAAAGTGAACAGATATGCTGGAGCAAAGCTGTGTAATCGTTGTTAATGGGTTTTTAACTGAGGTGATGATGCGTCCCATAATTTACTTCGAATGTGCTAAAGCGCTAAAGTATTCAAAGCAATTGTTCGCTTATTAATAAACTTCGGTGTAAAAGTACCGGGAATGCTCGTCAGAAATTTTCAAAAAGACCCCTAAAAGATCTGCCTGATTTTTAACCCATAAGAGATTGAACAATAAATATTGTTAACGGACGTCAAAAGAAAAACATAAAAAACCATATATGGGGTAGCAATCCGTAGCACTCAGTTCCAATGATGAAAACGGAGAGGAAAATCTATATCGATGTGTTCTTTCTCTTCATTTCCGACACCCTAAGAGATTGCAGAAAATGCAGATTTCCAGAAACTCCAAATTGACACCGAAAAGATTCCCAATCACGAATTTTTTTCCTTAAGAGATCCGACGAGGATCCCCGGTACTTTTCCACGGAGTCCCCCGCCAGGGTTACTAAAAGGACTTGATACATGTACTTATATCTTTACAAGCGTTTTTCTACTAATAATTATGTAATAGTCGTTTTGTAATTTACCTTAGGACCTAATGAGTACTTAGTAAGTTTAAACTTGCGTTAAACTGAGTTTGAACAGGTTTCCAGCGATTCTCATAACAACAGCTATTGCATTAATGGATGTTTATCTATCGTTTTTCGTACAAGACATTGAATGTTGGTTGAGCAAATATAAACTGTATTAAGATAATATAATTGCTTTTGACAAAGGTTTTCGATTAAACTGTTTAAAGTTTGGTACAAAGGCTGTATAATCACCATAATATTGCATAGCAGAATTCCTTCAATATAAAATTATTATCGGAAAATAATAATCCGAATAGACCTTATGGCTAATTTGCTTTTTATTTGTCCGTAATATCGGAGTTTTCGTTATATCACGGCATRTGCTTCAATGTGTTTCACGGCAATTGTATGCCATTTCACAAAATCAAATTGAATATTTTGCTTGTAACTACTTGTAGCTATTTTTTGACTGAAGGATTAAAACTAGCGTATCAAAATAATAACCTTAGAAGAAAGGAGAGCAGTCCTTCCTCTTAATTGTTGGCTGTGAAGGAGCTTATAAATTCAATTSACAAGAAATTCCCCGAAATTCGGCGTTTAAARGATTGYTTTTGATKCTCTTTTCAGTCTCTGTGTGTCAAGCTTCCATGTTGGGATCTACAAGCTCAATTTACAAGAGAAAGATGATGGTAAACTAACATTAAAGAGAATGGTCCACTTTTGACGTCCGCAGACACAACAACTATTAGTTAAAGTAATATGATTTTTAGGTAGTGATAATAGGCAATGTGCAGCGACGCCATTTTGAACAACAAAGCATTATGGGAGATTTTATTCAGCGCACATTACATATCTACTTAAAGTCTCCCTAAAAGCCGTTATAATATTTTCTTCTTTGTAAAAACGGCAAAACTACTTCTATTTTTGTAAAGAAAAAGCAAAAGAACCTAAGCTTAGCCAACGTTAAAGTGATTGGACTACAACCCCCATCATGCCTTGCTGATTAAAATGGCGTTGCTGCATATTGACTATCAAAGCAGCTAGTCCCATAGTCCGGCTTTTCAAAGGGGCTATGGCCCTTCAGTTAGACATAGCGCGTTTTAAAAACCCTCTACTTTTCATATAAATGTCTGTAAATCAAAATTTACAAGAAAATTACAGAATTCAAAGCGCGCTATGTTTTCCAGCGAGGGTAAAGATACATGTAACCATTGATGATTTTATTTTATTTTATAAATTATTATCTTTCTTGTAAATACTTAATATACGTCAAAATGATATCATATATATTAATCAATATAGTTTTAGGAATTCTGTACATTGAAATTAAAAAACGGCTCTGTAATGTATAATAATAAGAAGTTCATGTATTCAAGGAATACTCAAACAGTTTTTCCGCATCGCAGATCTTTGTCRGGGTCAAGCAGGTTACATCATCGAATCTAAGACAGAAAGGGAGCTTCGTAAAGCAAATATTTCGTATAATATCATAACTATATCACTGTTTCAGTTCTAACACTGCATGCTCTGAATTATCATGGACTCGCACAGTCAATCCATTAACGTTGTTCGGTTGTATAAAGACATATTAAAAGACAAAAACAAAATCATTTGAATATATCATATATTTTTTGCAACAATATTTAACTTTAAGTTGCAAAACGTCATTTGAATGTCAATAAAATTTAGATTTGTTATATTTATCTGGAGTTTTAAATTAGAAAAATGTCCCGGGACTTTTGATTTTTTTTGCTATCTTTATGTCTTTACAACTGACCAACGTGAAGTTGGATTGGCCGTTTGTAAGAAAGGAATATAATTAAAATGTGTGATTTCTGAAGGTTTTTCGGTCCTAGCATAGATGACAGCGCCTTTTTCAACCCGACAATGTACAATTTTACAATTAGGTTTATGCGAATGGTAAAAATTGAATTGATACTAAGTTGATATTATTTTAGGAACGGGTTCTACTGTGCTGAATTCCCAGTTTCTGTTGCTCATTTTCGGTCATCGGACGTGTAGTATTCCTATTTTCTAGCTTAATAAACTCATTGGAAAACGCTGTTAATTCATTGTTCACACTAAAAATCAAACAATGTATCAAAAACGTTGCATCTAGGACTATACACCAGTTAAAGCTCGTTTTGATCAATGCCGTGTGCTTTGATCCAGAGAATATCGCACATCGGAAGACCTGCGTTCCCAGCAGGTAAAAATCTTCAATTTGACTCAAATTGGATTGACATTCCAAAATTATTTAATCTTACCAATGTATTAGAACTAAGTGGTGACGATAATTGTTTTGTCAGTTAATGTTAAATATTTAGTTTTATGAAAGAAAGAGAGAATGATATAGTAGATGGGAGATGCGAAGGGATATCGGCTGGCGCCGGAGCATCTGAAATCTTGACTTATGTAAAATATCATTTTTGCGTAACTTATGTTGTGTCCTAAATGTGTTCTCATAAACATTACTCAAGCATTTTAAGTGCATRGTAATTATTTTAGCACCTTTGATCTTTTTTAAACTCTGACGAGCTTCAACCACCTGTTGATGACGAGCCCGTCGTATACACTCCATCAGCGGTTTACCACAAAACATCATAAAGCAATGGCGGCCGGAGTCAGCCCTCTGTACTTATCGTTTCTTTTTCTAGTATTTTTCTTTATTTTTTCGCCATGTCAAGGTGGCTTATATTCATTACACGATGACATAGTCCTTTTAGATAACAGTACAATAGATTCAGTTATTTATAATAGCCCATCAGCTTGGATAGTTGAGTTTTACTCAAGTTGGTGCGGCCATTGTCAGGCCTTCGCTCCGACATGGAAAAAACTAGCCAAAGTGGCCAGAGGTGAGTGGATACTTTATTTCACTGAAATCCTTCCTTTCAAGGCTTTATCTATAATGGCTTTGTTTTGAAATAATTACTTTGCTTTGAAAATTTGGTAAGGATTCGGAAATAAAGCGCTAAAAGTCTCTTTTGTGACGACACGATTTCCAAGGTTTCCTTGTGACGGGTAGTTGTTGATTAATTTATGAACACTCTCTTTTATTGAATTAAAGTCGTTGATTTACTTGCTTATTAAACAGATTAATACTTTTAAACATTGGTCTTTGATTACTGATATTTTCTACGGAGAAAAGTTTTTGCGAAGAGAAACGGATCACTTCTCAGCTTCCGTCGCTTCTATATCGAGCGGAATGTTGTTTTGATTCTTTCTCTCTAAACAAAGTAAGCGTAATTTTGGTATTATGAAATCGCCGGATCTAAAACTGAATACTGCAATCATTCGGTCTTTTGYATTTTCCTCTTTTTCGTCATTTTATTACAGTACTTCCCGAYAGATTTAAAAATGTGTAACCAAGGAACTTTTGTTTGCGATGGAAATGTATGGTCGGACCTGAGTGATGTTATTTTTGTAATTCAATCGATCGTGCGAAATCCCACGCGCTGTCATTCGAGTTCTAAAGCACTTATTTACTCCTAAAAATCAATAATAGACAAAATCGAGCTTTTTGTATGATAATTTTTATGTTAAAAGACATATTTTTGATTTTGAGCTATACATGTATATTATTATAAGGATGTGCCGGAAGGAACTTTTTTTAAAAAAATCTACTACTTAGAACATATAGGGTTTTTTAATAAAATTCTCATTTTAAAGTTTATTGAAAAAGACAATTCAATACACCAGATTGCTCTTTTTAAAAATCCTTTGTTAATACAAGTGATCAAATAAAATGAATGAATGAAAATTTATTGGAATTTTGATATTTTTTCCCAAATGTTTCTTACACAATATTAACACTTCACAAAAAGGAATAAAAAATATTTAAGAATTTTATTCATCTCCTAAGGCTAATATTTTGTCATTAGTCTATTACCTTGTTCAGCATAGCAACCAGGGGCTGCTAAAACAATGAAAATCTATCAGTATAGATCCCCTAGCTAATATCTTTAATTACAATATGTTTGCTGGGAAACAAATGATAGCAGATGAGCTGATAAATGCTATGTCTATTAAGCTCAAGTTTGTCCAGAAACAGCAATCTTTTCAATTCAAAAAATATCTGTTCACACAAGTTGGCTGGTCAAGGTGGCATTTTGATGTGACAGTGTCCGTTAACTAGCTCTTGTTCTCTTATCTGCTTTGTTCTCCTTTGTAAATGTTTGTATAATATTTATTTGTCTTTATTTAAGATTGGCAAAATGTCATCCATGTGGCAGCAATCGACTGTGCAGATGAGAGAAATATGCAAACATGCAGAGATTATGATATAGCTGAGTATCCTACTATTAAGGTAATAACAGGCAGTCAGCAGGAGGGATAATGAGTTTTAAAGTTGTAATCTGTCAAAATAGGATCAAAGTCAAAATACTAGATTATTATGGACAGTAATTAAGAACTTCCTAAAAGAATAACAAGTTGTGCAATATAAAACAATTATACAAGAGCAAACGCAGGAAAACCATGAAATACGGAATCACTTCTTCCTCAGTGAAACCATGAAATAAAATAAATTTAAATACTAACAAAAAGTGCAGCGCCGTATCTGTGACCAGGCAAGCGAGGCATACTTTCCTCGGTAAAATTTTATCGCGTTTTCTTTAATTTGAATTCAAAATAAAAAAGTTCGATCAATGGTGTAAAATAAAAAAAATCACAATATGCTTGTGGCAAAATGCTGTAAATCACGTTTCTTTATCAATGAACCAGAACATAATGAAGATGAATCCACATGGGACCATTTTTAATGAATCTTTATTGTGTTCTGGTTCACTGATACTGAAAGTTTGTCTCTACACTGTAAATAGCCTCCTATTTGTTAGTATTTAGTTTTGATTTTATTTCATGGTTTTCCTGCATTTGCTCTATACAATAAATAATTTCTTGGCATTAGAGTGCTTACACTGTGACAATGAAATAAAAATCTAATAATTACTGACAAATAGTTTTTATTTTAGTGACTATCATTCAACTGGAACAGTCTTAGTATAACAACACATTCTCTGTACAATTGGGAATTGAATACAAAGGAAACAATACCTCATTGATATAACTGATCCAGTTGAGTGATAACAACTAATATTCTTTAATAAGAACTATTAGGTAGTAGAGTGGTTTTCATAACCCCATGCAACAAAGTGTAATAATTAGATCGTAATAGTAGCGTAGAGACAAAAAAAACAACAACAAAAGAGCCAAAGTGTAATAGTGATAAATACGCTTACTTGTGTTTCACAGGTTAGTGAAAATCACTCTAACTATTTAGATTTTATTTCTATTTTTTTCTTTTTTAGATTTTATTTCATGGACATAGTTGCAAGCACTCTAAACCTTGAAAAAACTTAATTCTTGAATCCAATTTAAAAATGATCAATGATAATGTTCTGATAAAAATTATCACAAACAGTCTAAAATGGCCAAAGAGGCTTAGAGTGATTTTCATCGGACTGTGAAATAGTTCCTACGCTAATAGACGCTAGTAGACTCTACACCCATTGTTTTCTTATATTGGAATACAACTATTAGACACTATTGAACACTGACTAATAGTCATTGTTTCACAGTTCGATGAAAACCACTCTATCATGAAGAATTTGAATTAGATTGTTATTCTCTTTCCTAGTTTTTTAATGCTTCAATGGAAGAAAAGAGCAATAAAGGAAGAAATTTTAAAGGTAAATTGCAGCATCTTTTCCAAAACAATTATGAGTCCAACCACATTTTAATAATAGTGTTTCTTTATATAAAGAATACTAATAAGGAGTGTTTTATCAGATRTAAAGGTCCATGCATGGGACCAAATAGGCTCATTCTATTGGCCTAGTAACTCATTAATTATGTATGAGTTTTTGAAGCGAAAATCAAAATTTGAGTTGTGTGCAAATCAGGACAAATCTCTTGCTCATTTTATTTGGKTCAAGGCAGTGATTTTCCATGATTGTGTTAACCTATTATGAATTATTAATTAATTTTAAAATAAATATTAAATATGTTATTATTATTTGGTAGTCTATACAAAAGAAGATAAAACATTCATCAATCTATTACATACAATGGTGGATGTCGCAGAGCAACAAACCCACTTGTCAAATCATGTTCCAGACTTTAAATCAATCGAGTGAGTTCTGAATATTTGAATTTTTTCAGTACCAGTCTACCACTTATAAAGTTAATTAAGATCAGGCAGAAACTTATAAGGGACTTGAAACGTGTAATGTCCGTACATTTCTTTATTAAAATAAGCGTCAGAATATTCAAAGCTCATTAAAAATTCAAAAACGAACGTTATGATCAAATTTGGAAAATTTGGCCTTGGATAAGAGATTTAAGGACCGTTCCGGTTGCTATAGGGTAAATTTAATTACTCTAAATAAGGTAAAATAAGGAAATGAGATATAAATTAGATTAATTGAATATTCCAATGGTTGGCACTGGCGTTACACGTTTCAAGTCTGTTATAGGTTTCTGGATCATACATATTGGATGATAATATCTGTCATTAATTTTTCATTCAACAGAGAGAAAAGCACGCAAGACTTCATGAAAGGAATCGGACTGCATGAAATATTGCTCATCGTCTTTGAAGAACCTTACTCATACGTTGGCAAAGAGGTATGTCACATGCTAGCCTCCTGCGCAGGCATCTCTCTCATACTCTCTCTCTCTGTAGAAGTCTTGGAACAAATATACAAAACAGGAAGGAAGCCCAACCACTCGTAAATTAAAAGAAAAGGAGTTTTTATAGAGTTGCCTGCGGAGAGGAGGCTATAGTCACATGCATTATCTTCAAATTATTGAAAAGTTGGCTACTTGGTATAATATTAATGATAATTTATTATTAATAATCATAGCTTGCACTAGACATGATGAGATTTCCACAAATTGCTGTCAGAAGATCAACTGACAAAAAGGTAATATTTAAAAAACAAGATTGAATTGGCACATTTTGGTGAGATTGAATGAATTCTAAGTTGAACTTTATATCTGAGGAAACAAGACAGAAATATGTGTAATAAGAGTTCTAAGCAGAAAAGACAAAGTTGTACAAATTATGTTATTTTTAATTTATTATGTTATGCTGGGATATTGTATCTTTTCAGACTGATTGTTCACTCAGTGTTTGATTATTTCAGTTTAGCATATTTTTTGCATTTTTCTCTTCAGGATTATAGCAAGATTCAGCTTTAAGATATCAAAGTTTACTAAACATAATTTCTTGTCTTCAGTCTCCATTAATGGCCAAGTATAATATAGCAAGGAACAGATTTCCAGTCCTAATTAAAATAGAAAGAGGTTTTAGACCTACAGAACTGTCAAGGTTAGTAAACAACA